AATATAGTTTATAACCTAATTTAATAGATTTATTACCTTTTTTATATAATTCTTCTGATTTATTAATATCTAAATTAGATATTTGATAATAATTTAATTCAGTTAATTTTAAATCAGATAATAATTTTACAATTGAATCTTGAAAATCTTATATTGATTATTTGATTAATATTAAGTTTGTTTATTCAAATGATTTGAATTTAATACTTTATGCAAAGAAAGAATTCATTTATTTAGAATCTAAGTTAATGAATTATTGTTTAGATTTCTGATATTTTGATCTAATTCCTCCAATCAATAAATAGAATTATTAATAAGCCATATCCATTTATTTATTCAAATCTATAATTAAGTCTTCACATAATTTTCAATATTTAAAATATGATCAAACAAAAATGGTAAATCTTATTAATGTTAAACATGAGAAACATGAATTCCATTTTATATACATTAAATGCATTATAATCTATCTGCTTTACAAGATTCATTAAAACATACTAATTTTACATTATTGACATGTTCTGAATTTGGGCATTTGATATTAGTATCATTCTTTTCATTCATAATTAATATTAATATTAAATCTTTTTTCTAATTCTATTAAAATTATATATAAACTCATTATTATTAAATTATAAATTTCTATTAATACATTAATATATTAATAAATTCAATTCATATATAAACATTATTTTGCTAATAAATATTTAAAATATACTAGATTGGAATAACAGGAGATCTATTCAGAAATTTATTCTTGATTATTGAATCTCTTTTTGGTGATTCCATTCGAATTTTTATAGTTTTAAAGGATTAACAAAGTAAATGTGATTAACTTTAATTTTTAAATATGATAATCTCTGATAGTTAATAATCCATTGAAGACTTTATTTGCTCAAGATTGTCATATATCATTTTTAAGAGAATATATATAACTTACCAATACAATAATATCTTAAGTTGAAACCAAATATTATATCAAATATTAGCAAAAAACAAAAAATTGATTTAAAAAACAACTTCATTAATTAACTATAGTTTTATTCATATAGAATTAAAAGATAAAGACTAAGCTTGTGAGATTTCTTTTGATGAAAGCATAATCAAATCTGCTTCTCAAATTTGTATTCCACTCCTAATTGGGATAATTTCTATCAGAACTCTATCACTTTAGACAGGTATTTTCCTCTTTATTCCTCTAATTTTTAATATAAGCTAATATCTATCGATAATCAAATCCTTTAAAGAATAACTTTAAAATCCTTCCTTATTGATACCTTTAATTTAGTTGGAATTTTAATTTTTTTTCTATATTTTAACAATGTATCATTGAAGAGTCTTTACAATTTATTATTATATGGATCAATAGAAATAAGTACATTTAGTGGAATTTATCAAACATGATTTTTTTGATGCGAAATGAACTGAATTTTTCAGAATAATTTCATTTGAACCTTCCAAAATTTCAAGGTAAACTGCATATTTAATATATACTGAGTCCTTTTATTTCTTACATCAATAAATTTATAGAGTTCTATTAAAAGATCAGCTATTTAATATGGTTTAAGAAATTTTCATCAAATATATATGGGGTTACTAAAGTTTAAAAAATGCTACCTAATTTTCTTCAATTACTTATTAACTAGGATTTGTTTTAAAATAATCCTCATCACATCACTAAATTCTAAAATTAACAATTATTTAACAGACATGATGATTAATTAACCTACCTTCTTTGAGCAATACTAATAATAGAAATAACTATCTGTTGATAATGACTAATAAGTAAAAAAAAAGGAATAACTCTAAGAAGTATGATTAATTATTTATTAATATTTTTCTACAAATATGTAAGAAATTTATCAAAGAGAGGCTAGAACATAATTATAATTTTTCTTTATTATTTGCTACCCCTAAAATTAATCATAAAAAATAAAATAATAGAAATCTGGAATTATTAAGAATTTAAATTAATAAATAAATAATGATGAAATTATGATATTAAGATTTTCAAGGTTTCAATTAATTCTTACATATTTCTAATTGAGCCTAAATAAATTACTTAATAATTCTAAAATATAAGATTAATTAGGCTTAATTTAATCTGCATTCACTAAATAGGAACTTGCTTTTTCATATTAACCTAAGGCATATGCACATTAAGCTAAAATAATTAAAAATTGTACCTTTACCATATAAAGATAATACATGTTCTGGGTCTATTATTAATGCTTAATCAAAAAACTCAAATGCCAATTCAAATTAATTCATTATCTGTAGACAGTCACCTTAAAAATGAATTAAATTTACCTCTCCCCCATAAAGATAAGACATCTTGAGGGTTAATATTCAAAGCTTCATCATACTGTTTTAGAGCTTATTTAAATTGCTTCATCATTTTTAAGCATTCACCTTTGATTTATCTAATTTAATATACCTTTTCCCCATAAAGAAAGGCTGTGTAATGGATTGATATTCAATGCTCTATCATACCATTCAATAGCTTATTCAAATTGATACATCATTTTTAGGCAATCACCTTTATTATTTGAAAATTGAAACTACCTCTCCCCCATATTGTTAATAAATGTTTTTCGTTGATGCTTAATCCTTTATCATACAATTCAAGTGCTAATTCATACTGATTCATCATTTTTAAACATTCACCTTTGATGAATTCTTATAAATTTACTTTTTCCATATAAGGAATCTATATGCTGTGGATTTATGACCAATAATTTGTCATACCATTCAAGCGCTTCTTCAAATCGATTCATCATCTTTAAGCATTCCCCTGTGATTTATTGAGTTATACTTACCTATTCCCCATAGAGATAAAATATGTATTGGATTAATTTTAAGTGCTTTTTGAAACCATTGAAGAGCTTATTCATATTGAGTCTTTATTTTTAGACAATCACCTATTTTGATTATTATTTTACCAGTTCCCCATAAAGATAAAACATGTTATTTGTTGATAGACAATGCTTTATCATACCATTTAAGTGCCTCCTCAGTTTGATTCATCATCTTTAAGCATTCGCCTTATTTAATTGAATTTATTTACTTTTGCCCCATAAAGACAATAAATGTTTTGGATCAATGTTTAATGCTCTTTCAAAATACTCAAGTCCTTATATAAATTTATTGTTCATTTTTAAACAATCACCTTATGGAATTTGATTTATATATACCTGTTCCCCATAATGATGGCACATGTTAAGGATTGATGCCCAATGCTTTTTAATACCACTCAAGTGCCTATTCGTATTTATTCATTATTTTTAAGCATTCACCTTACATAAATGAAAAAGTATTTACTTTTCCCACATAATGAATCAACATATTATGGATTAATTGTTAAAGCTTTTTCATACCATTCAATTGCCTAGTTAAATTAATTCATTTCTGCTAATATAAATCCATGTATGTAAATGCAATAAGCATCCTCCATTAATTTATAGAAATAATTATACCTTTCCCGTATAGAGATAAGATATGTAAAGGATTAATAAATAATACTTTATCATACTATTCAATTGCCTGCATATATTTTTTCATCATTTTTAGGCAATCACCTAGAATTAATAGAATTGAATTTACTTTTAGCCCACAAAGATAATAAATGTTATGGTTCAATGTTCAAAGCTTTCTCAAAATACTAAATTGCTTCAAAATAATCATTCATCAAATATAATTATAATCCTAAGATTTACTATCTCTATCATACCTTTTCCATATAATCCTAAGCAAGTTTATTTAAGAGTTAATGAATTATTCAAATTAATTAATGCGTCTTCGTTCTTTCCTAAATACAATAGACAAATTCCTTTTGATTTTTTAATATAATTTTAATACCTTTTCCTGCATATGCCTCAGCATGATTAGCATCCATATTTAAAACTTTATTAAAACTATAAGTTGCTTCTTCATATCTTTCGATTTAGGTTAGACAATCTCCTAAATGAAATGAGTTTATTAATTACCTTAAGAATAGAAGTACTCTTTTTTGGATGAGTCTATCTTAATAGCTTTTGTATAGTACTACAAGGCTTCTTTAAATTAGAAAGTATCTCGTAAGCATTCACCTTTAAAAAAATAAAAAAAATTAAACCTATCCCTTATTAAGTTGCTGAATTATTTGAATTTATAATTATGCATTTTTCATAATTCTATCTAGCTTGATAATAAAATCTTTATTCTCTTAAGATATCACCTAAAGTTTCAAAAATCAATTACCTATTTTCCACAAAGATTTCTCATGTTTTGGATTAATTTTTAGTATTTCTTTGTATAATTTTAATGCATTTTCAAAATTATTCAACATACATAATGAATTTCCTTCAAAATAATTACAATTACTAACCTTTTTAGTACATAATTTCAATATTATATGGTTCAGTTTACAACAACTTATCAAATAGTTCGATGGCTTCAGTTTATTAATTTGAAATACTTAATTAGATACCTAATAGAATATAAATTAAATCCAAACCTTTTTGATATTCTTTTTTATTGATTGTAATTTATTAATCAGTGATTTAATATGTTATCAGGTGTAATTCTAATTAAATAAAAAGATCATCTAATTATGTCTAAAATTTGGTCAATAATCCTAAAATATTCGTATTAATTATATTTCCAAATTTGTCAAATAAAATAGAGGATTCTAACATTTATTACCATTGATTAGGTTTAAGATTATCAAGTTTATCTTCAAATACACAGAACTTGTATAATAAACCAGATATGAATTTATCAATAGATTAAAATATTGGTTAGAACTTACATTAATATTCTAATATAATGTCCTTCGTATGTGTTGATTTTTAAATTAAAAATGATTTCAATTCAAGAATGCTTTAAGCATCTTCATCAAAATGTTGAATATGTTTCTTTTATTTTTGGCATTTTGCACAAAAAAATCTATTTTCCTAACACTCACTTGATTTACACCAGAAAAGAATATTTTCTTAAGAGTGATCTTTACATTTAAAATCCAGCATTTATTGTTTATAATAGTCTTAATTTATATCTTAATTATTTAAGATTTATATTAGAAAATTATTAATATCCGACGCTCATAAATATTATCATACATTTGAAGAATAATAATGAATTAAAACGATAAATATATTAATATTTTTAAAGATGATCATTTCAGAAAGAATATTATTTTAGTTATAATTATTATAATAAAGTTAAAAACTTTGAGTAGATATATTAAGTATTATAATGAATATATTTTAATAAATTTAAGATTGAAAAATTGGTAGAAAAATTCTAATTTTCAATTAGAATTTATAATCATTTTATTTAATACTCATCTGGTTTAGATGGTTAATTTAAAAAGAATCAAATAGATAATATTATTCATTCAGCATCTTCAAATGTTTACGAAAATATTTCAATATCAATAATTAATATTGAATATTCAATTAATTGAAAAAATTTCAATATTGAGTGAGTAATATTAAAAGATGGAATCACTTAGCATAATTTCCCATTCATTTATTTTGTTAATTTATTAATATAGAGGAAAATTATAGATGTAAAAATCTCAAAAATCTATTAGTAGAATTTCTCATGCCTAAAATTTAGAATTCCCATTCAATATTAAATTGAAAAATTAAAGTTAATTCTGAAAAATTAATTTTTTTAATTTAATCAATACAATATTTACATTTAGTAATTATAATTACTAAATGTAAATATTGAATGTAATTTCTAATAATATTTTATTTTAGATTTATTAAATAAGATGAGAACAAACAGAAATTTATATTTTCAATAAATTAATTCTTATATCCTATATTAAATAAATTGTGTATGATACATCATTAATCAATATAATAATGATCCTTATTAAATTTATAAAACAGTTACTTTTTTCAATTAATTTTTTTCTTATTTTATAATTCAAACTAAAATAAAGAAATTTACTATTTAAAGTTTTTATAGTAATAATTTATAAGCTAAAATAACAATAATTTATCAATTATATTCAATAAAATGGATATTTATTAGCCTATAATATTATGCAATAAAATCCAATACCAAATTTTTTTTTGGACAGTTTAAGTGAAAATAATTTGAATTGTGATCAATGTAGCATCAGACATGTGAAGGTTAAGATAATTAAATTTGAAGTTGTCTAATACAAAAAAATAGAATAGTGAGTAAAAATAAAAATGAAAATTTTTTTTTTGATAATGGAAAAGATTTTTCGATAATTTGAAAAGTATGGAAATAATGGTTTTGAATGAATAGAAATAAATAAATGAACTAAAAAAATTATTGTGTTATTCAAAATATCTTCAATTGAAAACCTAAATCCAATCTGCAATCTTTAATTTAAATAATCTCTTTTATAGCAATAGAATCTCAGGAACTAAAACCCTAATTGTAATAGAAATGAATATTTTGAATTAAATAAATTATTGTGATAATATAATATTCATAAGGAATTTAAAAAAGACAAATAATATTTCAAAGCTGAATAAGATTTTACAGTTTAAGTCCTGATATATCTACATACTATTAAAGTTTATTTTAAGATGTTATTTATATAAATGCCATATCATTCAAAAAAATTTGAATCATGGTTCAAATTTATCATACTAAGTTGACCATTTCAATCTAGGATATTGTAAAATCATAGAGATTAAGAAGAAATTAAACGACACCAATAATCCTCAGCTTTTATATCAAATTAAGATAGAGAACAATAAAATTTTGAATAAGAGCTTTTATCACGATATACCTATAACAGCAAAGTATTTAAAATTAACTTCTATAACAATATTAGCAAAAACATTAGTTATTGACAACTTTTGCATTTAGTTTGGATCAATTAATAATGATAGATATAATGAGTTTAACTCTTAATTAAAAAAATAATTCGTATGACCAAGATAATCAATCACCTTTAGGAATTAAATAAGAAGAAATTATTCCTATAAATTTCAAAAAGAACAGGAAAGCTTAGTATTATTAAATGAAGCATCTACTAATCAAAAGGCTCTTTATGGATTAAGTATATATATTATTTTAAATTAGGTTTAATTTTAATTTATAAGTAATAATTCATTTAAGCAAAAGTATAATTATTTGAACTCTTATAGGTTAAATGTAAATATAGCAAAGCAGAAAAAACTATTGAATTAAAAAGGGGATGAATTTCTCATTAAACTAAAATTATTAGAACAAAAATAGGAAGATATAGAAGATTAGATTTCAACCTTTGAAATATGTTTGGTATATATATAACCTTTATCAAGTGATAATTAAGTTTAGAGAGCTGACATCAATATAATTATGAATAATGAGATTCAATATAATGATCTCATTTATCTATTTATTATGTTTTAATTTTTATCATAAAGATTACTGATAAAATTTTATCCATGCTTTTCTAAAATTACTCTCCATATTTAGTTTTTTATGAATTCATTAGATTAGCAATCATAAATATAATGAAAAAAAGAGATTAAAAACATGTTCAAAAAAGCATTTTATAAACTAATTGAATAACTAAAGTCAAATATAAATATTATTTATATTTAAGCACAAAAGCTGAATCTTAAATGCTTAAGATTCTGTAACCATCAAAAACACTGATCAATTTAAAAATCTGAATCCTTTTTATAGAAACATTTTCCAAATATTAAGCAATAGTTCCAGAATTAACTTAAGATAACATAACTATTTTAATAAGTTAATTCAATGATTAAGGATTGGTGTCCATTTATAAATATTAAGATTTTTCCATAATTTAAATTATTTATGATATTATTAATATATTTTAAATTGATATAAGTATATGAATTTATCAAAAAATGATAGAATTGGGCAATAGCTATAAATCGTCTAATTTTCAATTGAAATAAAATTATATGATGGATACTTTATTCAAAAAGAAATGCTCTATACATGATTAAGAAATTTTAGCAGCAAGGAAAGGGTTAGATAATATTGATCAGAATAAATATTTATGCCTTTAATGTTTAATCGAACTAATAGACCCTAAAGGATTGATACAAATCGAAAATACTCCAACATTAAATTTTCGATGTTAAAATCATGACTGATAAATAATTATGGTCAAACTTGATGAAAAAAATAAATTGTAGTTCTCCTGTGTATAATGTGTTTCAGAATATCAATGAAAATACATAACACTTTCTTAATTGTAATAATCCTTTGAAGCTTACAATTAATCTTTTGAAAAATCTCTAAAGCATTTTTAAAACTTGAGAGAGCAACATATGAATGAAATAATAAAAATTTGTAAGGAATTAAGTAATAGATATATATAATCCATAAATTTACACATTAAATAATTAGAAGGAAATTTAAAATCTTTTTAAGAGATTATAGAAAAAAAATTTATAATTTAAAGATCAAAATATCTTTTAATTCAAATAAGGGAAATTATTATAAATATTAGAACCAATATTTTAGGATTAAAATCCAATCATTATTCAAAAATTATTGAAAAATAATTAGAATTAGATAAAAAATTGAATAACAAGTTTGAATAGTAAATGTAGGAATTCTAAATTTGTAATTCAAATATAATCAAACTTCAATAATTTGATCATAATTTATATGAAATAAATTAGATAATTAAATTGAATAATAGAATCCAAAATATTAAGATATTGAGAATGATTAAAAAATTACTAATTTAGAAAATTAGATAAATAGTTTTCTATCTAAAAGGTTATAATAAAGTGTTTTAAATGAATAGTTTTAATAATTATAATAAAATAATTGTAAACTAGACAATTATCAAGCATAAATAATTTAAAAGATAATTACAGTATAAGATAAATTAAAAGAACAATAGAAAAATTGTGCAAATGAACAAGGAATATTTTCATAAAATTTTGAATTAAAAATAAATTATTTAGAAAGATTAAAGACCCATCTTAATTCCATTTCTTTTTGTAATTCAATATAAAATGAATTCCAGATTAAAACTAATGAAAAAATTTTAAATTTAGAAAAGGAAAAAATGAGGTTGTATAAAGAAAATAAATTTTAGTATAATAAAAAATTAAAGGAATTCAGTTAAAAAGCTTTTAATCAATATTGTCTTTTGATATTACTTAATCCATATCAGCCTTAATTTAATAGTAACTGTAAATTAGCTGCCTATTAAGTAATTAAACCCAGGTAGCCAATTTTCTTATATTATTAGCTCCTTAAGGAGGATTTGGATTAGCTGTAATGCAACCTCCATAACCTAAAGATAAGGTAACAACATTCACTTTTAAAATAAATGTATAAAGATATATCTTATTAAGAAATTCAATAAGTGGGCAGGAATTGGAATTTGCCATTTGTAAACAGCTTAAGGTTTTCATTATGATATGAATGAAAATTATTCACAAAAAAACCACAATGTTTACATAACATCTACTGGGGGATATAGAATTTCAAATTATTAAGGTTAAGAAGGCAGTAATGAAATTCATGAAAAATGAAATTTTATTTTAAATTAATTATACTGGAGTAAACTTTACTTTTGGTGAATATAGCATCATTCATTGTTAATATGATCCAAAAAATAATACATTAAATTTATTACATTAAAATGTATATAAAATAATAATTAGGATGGAATTACATATTAAATGGATATAGCTAATAATAATTTAGAAATGTCCCCTTGTGTTATGCTATATGGAACAGCAGAAATAGAATAAATATGAAAATTATCATTCCTATAAATAGATATTGCAAATAATTTTAAAGAAATTCCATATAAAAATAAAATAATATAAAATTAAGAATGAATAATTCAATGACAAATTAAATCAGAAATAGTTATTGAAGTTGCTATTATGATCAAATGGATAATCAATTTTCCACAGTTTATAATATCATGTGAATTCCAAAAATTGTAAAATTAAATGATGTTTGAACTTTTTTAGTTTTAAAGTTGAATTAGGAATTATTTATAAGATGGGATAAAAATTCATATCATATTCGATATCAGCTTATAGCTTATATTCATATCAAAGTACTTAAAACTTTAGGATTCAGTAACCGCAACTATTTAATATATAATATGATTGTTAAACTGTTAAATTATATCATTAATTTTAACATGTAATTCTATTATAAATATATTTGTGATTAATTTCTATAAAAATACTTTAGGCTTTTTGAAAAAGATCATTTTTAATAATTAATTTTCTATTTATTTTATATTATTCAGATTAAATCATAAAATAAGGTAAAGGGTAGGTACAAGGATTTTGTATTTTATAAACCTCTCGATTTGGTTTTATAACATAAAAAAGCTATTTTATTAGAATCAATAAATATTAGAAATCAATTTTTTGTTGTACAAATATGTAAAATCAAATATTTAAATAGCAGATTGACTTTGCTTAAACTAAATTATTCCATATAGATTGGCTTAAATTTCAATTATGAAAAGCTTAAATAAAATTCGATTTTTAATTAAAATAATTATGAAAATATTAATTGTATTTTTATTTGCAGTTGCTTATTGCTATCCAATCGTTGTCACTAATACAGACTTGAGCCCTTCTGATTTATTTATCAATCAAATAGATTTGATGAGTAAAATAAGACAGCAAGTAAATTAAAATATTATTGTAGTAGTAAAACAAAAAAGTTATCTTAATAAATATTCAAACATCTCATTAAGATAACGAAATATTCTAAAGCAAATTACTCAAAAAGATAGAAAGNCTGTAATGCAACCTCCATAACCTAAAGATAAGGTAACAACATTCACTTTTAAAATAAATGTATAAAGATATATCTTATTAAGAAATTCAATAAGTGGGCAGGAATTGGAATTTGCCATTTGTAAACAGCTTAAGGTTTTCATTATGATATGAATGAAAATTATTCACAAAAAAACCACAATGTTTACATAACATCTACTGGGGGATATAGAATTTCAAATTATTAAGGTTAAGAAGGCAGTAATGAAATTCATGAAAAATGAAATTTTATTTTAAATTAATTATACTGGAGTAAACTTTACTTTTGGTGAATATAGCATCATTCATTGTTAATATGATCCAAAAAATAATACATTAAATTTATTACATTAAAATGTATATAAAATAATAATTAGGATGGAATTACATATTAAATGGATATAGCTAATAATAATTTAGAAATGTCCCCTTGTGTTATGCTATATGGAACAGCAGAAATAGAATAAATATGAAAATTATCATTCCTATAAATAGATATTACAAATAATTTTAAAGAAATTCCATATAAAAATAAAATAATATAAAATTAAGAATGAATAATTCAATGACAAATTAAATCAGAAATAGTTATTGAAGTTGCTATTATGATCAAATGGATAATCAATTTTCCACAGTTTATAATATCATGTGAATTCCAAAAATTGTAAAATTAAATGATGTTTGAACTTTTTTAGTTTTAAAGTTGAATTAGGAATTATTTATAAGATGGGATAAAAATTCATATCATATTCGATATCAGCTTATAGCTTATATTCATATCAAAGTACTTAAAACTTTAGGATTCAGTAACCGCAACTATTTAATATATAATATGATTGTTAAACTGTTAAATTATATCATTAATTTTAACATGTAATTCTATTATAAATATATTTGTGATTAATTTCTATAAAAATACTTTAGGCTTTTTGAAAAAGATCATTTTTAATAATTAATTTTCTATTTATTTTATATTATTCAGATTAAATCATAAAATAAGGTAAAGGGTAGGTACAAGGATTTTGTATTTTATAAACCTCTCGATTTGGTTTTATAACATAAAAAAGCTATTTTATTAGAATCAATAAATATTAGAAATCAATTTTTTGTTGTACAAATATGTAAAATCAAATATTTAAATAGCAGATTGACTTTGCTTAAACTAAATTATTCCATATAGATTGGCTTAAATTTCAATTATGAAAAGCTTAAATAAAATTCGATTTTTAATTAAAATAATTATGAAAATATTAATTGTATTTTTATTTGCAGTTGCTTATTGCTATCCAATCGTTGTCACTAATACAGACTTGAGCCCTTCTGATTTATTTATCAATCAAATAGATTTGATGAGTAAAATAAGACAGCAAGTAAATTAAAATATTATTGTAGTAGTAAAACAAAAAAGTTATCTTAATAAATATTCAAACATCTCATTAAGATAACGAAATATTCTAAAGCAAATTACTCAAAAAGATAGAAAGTTTAAAGAATTTTAAAAAATTGTTAAAATCTAAATCCACTTTTGTTTCCCCATTTGTAGATTATTCTTCAATCCAGTTTGCTTAAGGACTCTAAAAGGATAATTAAGTAATTTGCTTTATTTATTCAAGGTTGAAGTATAAAATATCCCAATGAACTTTTAAAATCTGAAGGCACTTGATAAATTTGCTTAACAATCAGATGCTATCTTAATTGTGTTATTTTCAAAGATATCTTCAAATGTGAAGGTTTTAGAAGAAATTACTGAAACTTCAGAAGTATATATTGATAAATCATTGTTTTAGCCCTCTGATTAAATTATAGCTGTCGAGTTAGGTGATGAAAACGAACTAACTTCAAATACTGTAAAAAAAATTATTATATAAATAGATATACACAGTCACTTCTAATTAATTAACTGGATACATTGTCTTCTTTGTATCAATGTTTGCTTTATGGATAGCTGTCTAATGTAATGGAGCAATTTAAACTCCAGAAAGATTTTCAAAATAAAATTATTATATTGGAAAAGAAAGTTGAATTATTTTATGAATATTGTACCTAATATATTCTTTTTAAATGTATTTCTGAATATCTGAAATGTATTTTTGTAGTATCCAGCATTTTTGAGTGAATTTCATAATTATTTCTAATCTTATATTGAATCTTTTCTGTTCCAATTTGGATTGATGAGGCATTTGAATCTAAAATTAAAAAATGGATTACTTGTATAAACTTTATTAACTCCCTGCTTAACCATCTATTCCACCTATGCCTTTTTTGCTTTTTAAAAAATTAAACATATTATGGGACTTCATTAACATTTACTATAATAAATATCAATAATATTTAATAATAGCTCAATATATATGGTATAGTTTAGTAACAAATCTAATTTCAAATAGCCACTCTTTTCATGATCATTAAGTTCTCTCTCTAATCCAAATGTCTTATTGATATTTTGAAATTAAGAACATTTGCTGAAATTTCTAATTTCACATTCATCTTCAGGCTGTTCATTTGATGATAAATCCCCTATAGCAATTTTTAAGCCCTAATCAAAATAAAAGATAACAAAAATGCTTTAATAATCAATCCCTTTGTAAATAGTGAATAATTCACTTTGCAATAGCTCTTATTCAGATTTCGAAAATAGATGGATTTCTTTAAAAAATTTTCTGATCTCTTCTACAAATTTATTTTAATGATATTGAATGAGAATTATTATTTGAAGCTTGTAATTTTTCATAGATTTAAACTTAATTTTCAGCCAAAGATATTCTAATCTATACATTATAAACAATTATTTTAATGTAATTTATATTTCTTAATATCTCTTAGAAATTGTTGGACTATTCTTTTATTGACAACCAATTGCCCTGAAATTAATTATTTCATATCCATCAAACATGTATAAATAATAATAAAATCAAAAAAATTTCTCACTATTCTATTTGTTTAATACATCAATACTTTAAAAACATAGATAATTTTTCCCCTTCTCATTATTATCTTAAGCATTAAATTAAAAATATAAACTATAAATAATTTATGTTCAAATCAAAATTATTTATATTAATAATATAAAAGTAATTAATACCTAAGTGTATTTCATGTACAACTTCTTTCTCAGCCTTAAAATGTAGACTTTCCTTTATATACATTTGATTTTTAAAGGGCATTTCATATTGTATTGAATTCATCTTAGTATTGCGATAAATTATACTAAAGCTTAATAAAGTAAATATTTTATCCAAACAATTCCTTTCAGGTCTATTGTAATAAAAAAAGAGTATACTTTGTAGATTGGATTTCCATATTTATAATACCTATATAATAATTATAGCAAATTCTTATGATTGATAAATTTATCTAAGACACTACACCCTGGATAAAATAATTTATGACAGGTTTATGGGCTTACAAAATGTTTATCGAATCAGTAAATTATTTATTAGTATAGTATTTTCTAATTTTTATAATTGT